AAGGGCCTGCGTTTAATCCCTGGTTCCACAAAAAAAAAAAAAAAAAAAAAAAAAAAATTTGGTGTCAGTTGCTAATGTTGCCAAGGGTGGGCTCCAATTTGTGAACTTCCTGTTTCAGCCTCCCAGAGCTGGGATTATTGGCAAGTGCCACTGTGCTCAGCCTGTTTATTGTTATAGCTTTGTAATAATCTTGAAATCAGATAGTAAAAAGACTCCAACTATGTGGTTTTTCATTTTGGAACTACCTTGTCAACTTCTTTATAGTAGCTGATAAAGATTTTGATTGAGATCGGTTTAAATCACTTTGGATATGTATTCACATTTAATATCACTGACCCTTCCAATTCTCGAATATAGTTTCCATTATTTAAATCTTCCTTAAATTCTTTCAGAGATATTTTATATTTTTACTGTTGAGCTCTTGTACATTTTTAAAAATTTTTCCCTGGACATACTATTATTTTTATACTATATGCTATATTTTTATTAATGAATGACATTTAAAATTTTTAAATTGGTATATATTTGTCGTGCATAATGACTTATATTTTTCATGGGATATAGTTTGAAACAAGGTCTCATATGTGGTTCACACTAGTCTTGAGCTCACTGTATAGTCCAGCCTGGCCTCACAGCAATCCTCCTGGCCTAGTCTCTGGAGGGTTGGGATTATAGGGGTGTGCTACCATGCCCAATTGTTTTTTTTGAGACAGGATCTCCATATGTAGTTCGGGGTAGCTTTGTAATCACTATGCAGCCCAGGCTGGCTTCAAACTTGCAGTGGTCATTTTTAAATCAAGAGGTTTATAACAGTACTTTTTTTTGGGGGGGGGGATAGAATTATTTTAAAAATTCAAGTCCTAACTTCAGATTCAATGGTTGCTAGCTACTACTGTATGGAAATATACAACATGGGGGTTGGGAATGTGGCTTCATGGTAGAGCTCTTGACTTGCATGCACAAAACTATAGGGTCCATCCTGAGTACCACCAAAATAAACCAATAAATAAGCATACAACTTAAGTATATCACCTTTGTAACTTGCAACTCTGCTGTTTATTAGCTCTCATAGCTTTTAATGAATTTTTTAAAAAATACAAAATCATATAGACTGTAAATTAAAGGTCTTTTCTTGTTTTGAGAAGGGTCTTGCCATGCTTGATTTGCTAAAGTGTTAATTTTTCATAGTTTGTATTTGGGGGAAGTTACATTGTTGCTACCATGTACTATGTGGTCTGTGAAAGCCTGAGAACACATGACTTTTTTTTTTTTTTTTTGAGGAACCAGGGATTGAACTCAGGTCCTTGCGCTTGCCAGGGAAGCGCTTATGCCACTGAGCCATCTCCCCGGCCCCCTACTATGTGGTCTGTAATGAACACGTACAGATCTTTCCCCCTCAAAACTACAGTATGACAACTGTTCACATAGCATTAATTTGTATTAAATATTTACAAGTAATGTAGAGATGACTTAAAGTGCATGTGAACTATGCGTAGGCTTTATTATGCCCTTTTTAAACGACGCGAGCATCTTGGAACCAGCTCCATGGAAATGTAGGAATGGCTGTACTAAATTATTCAGAGAAACTGTAGACCTTTGCAGATACAAGGATAGCTTTGAAACGTGTCCTTTTGGCAAGAAAATCTATCTGTATCTACAGTAGTGAACAGCAGGAACTAGCACAGGTGTTTCTACCTGGTATTTCCCTTTCTGCCTTGGAAACACGTTTTCATATTCAGGAGTGACTGGAATTCTGACACCTTGTCCGGAGATCACCATAAGCGGCCATTACCTGGGAAGCTTTACCTGCATATCAAAATGCTTGTTCAGTATGCACCTTCTCCCCTCAATTTTACCTTCTACTCTCTCCCTCCCTCCTAAAAGCCCAAGCTCCTATGTCCTTATTTAGTTCTATATAAAAAAAAAATTTTTTTTGGCAGAACCGGGGACTGAACTCAGGCCCTTGTGCTTGCCAGGCAAGTGCTTATTCTACCGAGCCATGTCCCCGGCCCCTCTATATAAAATTAAAACTATGGCTCTCTTGGGTCTCAAACTGTGTACATGGAGTTCCTGCCTAACAGAATGTTACCCACCCCATTAATCTGTCTATTTTCGATTTACTGCATAGACTAAAATTATCGAAACTTAAGAGGGACAAGAGAAAACTTAAAAGTTCTCTATAGCGTTGTGTGCAAATGCTACTTTTAATTAGAAAAAAACATAAGCACATAAACAGGGGCAGCGTGCCCGGCATACTGCGGATGCATGGTAGTAACTGCTCAATGAAATGATCCAGCCCTAAAATGTTGAAGATTCAGCACAAACGGACGGTTGCGCCCCCTCGCACCGCACGAACTCGGGGACCAGAGAGCTGCACTTAGGACTTCGGAATGCCTCTTCCCAAGGCCCACCCCTTCCGCTTTCAGGACGTTCATTCTACGTTCAGAATTGGAACGGCCTAACCTCAAACCGGATACTAAATAAATTGTTTTTCTGATAAAAGCATGCAGCCACTATTGCTCTCCTTGAAAATCTGGTTTCTTAGTGTACTCATTTTCTACAATTCCCAGGCCTTGCCTTCCCCACATTTACCCCCCTCCTTTCACGGAATGGTAGCGTCCACCTAGGGTGCAAACAACCTAGGGGGTGGAGCACACCATTCGAAGAGAGGGAGGGCTTGAGGTTTGCATCAAAACAAGCACCCTTCCTTTGCAAAAGTAATAACCAAGTAATCCAGAAAAACAAATGGGGGAAGGGAGCAGTCGCCTCCTTCAGAAAGCAACAGGAAACGATCTAAAACACTTTTTTCTTTTTACTACTCCCCTCTATTCGGGTGAATAGTGAACCGCTCCGACAAAAAGAAACCGGAAACGCTACCGCAAGCAGCAGAAATGTAAATGTGGAGCCAAACAATAACACGGCTGCCAGGCCCATAAGACCTGAGTCTCGCGGGCAGACATTTCATTTAGGATTTTCCACTTCCACGGCTGATGGTCTTTAACTGGATTTTCTCCATGTAGCGGAGCCGGGGGCCCTCTGAAAACGCGACTCGAGGAAGGACAAAGGTCCGGAAGTTGTGGGACCTTGCTGCTTGGGCTTCCCTGGTCACCCCGGTTAATTTCAGAATGGAGCCCAGGATTTCAGTAGGATGCACTGAACTCTAAAGTCTCGAGGCATGAGTTCCTGCAGTCTCAGACCCAAGGGCTTTATGCATCTTATTTTATGGCCTCCCAACAGCAAGCACTGAGTAGACAGGTGTGCGTGGGGGGATATCCCTTAGGCCAGCAGTTTTCTGAAGACCCAATCACCTGTGCAGTTGTCCATCTTTGAGTTTGGCTGGATATAACATCCCCATCATCTACTTCCAACATTGGCTTCCTATAGTGATCTTGCTACCTAAGCTTCTGTTCCCCCCAATCACCCGAACTCGCTAAATCCCCACTGCCCCACCCCCAAGCCCTACGATTCTCGCAGCAAATCCGATTCTCGGAGCAAATCCTCGGAGTGGGAGAGTCCGTGACTCAGGGAGGACTCATCACCTTTAGTCAAGCGCTTACCCGGTTCCCAGGGGAGCGTGTCACAGTCCTTGAAAGCACTATCCGAGCTCGGACGCCAGGTACCCCCGGAGCCCAGCAGCTACCAGCGTTCAGGATGGTGGCTCCGGACTTTAGAGCAACTCAAAACTTTTAGCGCCAGTCTGAGCACATGGGAGGGGGAAATCCCAATCCCAGAAGCCCTTGCGAGGTTCCTGGCACAAAGCTGGACAGTCGCCATGACAAGTAAGGGCAAGTAATTTGCCTGGAGGCAGAGAAGGAAAGGAAATGGAGTGTTGCTGAAGTGGGTGCGGAGAGAGGATTCTTGCTGTTATTATTGCCCCACTACTAGTATTTTGTGGTGGCAAGGTACTACAAGCTGGAGCTGTGAAGGCAGAATCGGTGAAAAACATTTTGGAGGAGGCTTGCTACTGTGTCAAGTATAAAGGGTGGAAGGAAGAGAGCCTTTCATTTGCCATTTAAAGCGTGGAGCATTGATTGTTCTTTCAGCTCCAGTTGAATCACTTTTTCCTCATCAGCTAAAATATCACCTTTTACGCAGGCGTTCCTGTAGGTGCTTTATATCACATCTTGTTTAATTTCCTTTATAACCCTTATCACCATTGCCTTCCATAAATAGCAACAAAAACAGTATGAGGGCAGAGAATTTGTTAACTGTATTATTCGTTGTTATATTCTTCAACACTTAGATAGGTAAGTATAATAAGTATAATCTTGATTGACAATTCTCATTGAATGAAGACAAGTTATTTGGAGGAATTTGGCGGAGATTCGATAGAAGCGCGAAACCTGTAAAAACCATACGCCCTCTGCAGGCGAGAGAGTGTGGATGTTTTAAGGACGACTGCGGGAGACTCGGGTGCTTTCATTTAGGTAACGCCTTCAGACTACAACTCCTAGCAGCCACTAGGAGTCCCCAGGGTACGCCGAACCGGTTACTTCCAGTCCTACCCCCTCCCCGCGAAATCTCATCCCGCGCACCGAGGTCCAATCGGAAGGGGGTCCCAAATCCCGCGAGAGCAAGTGGCGCGTAGGGACCCACAGAACGCGGTGCTTTCGGTTTGGTATCCAGACTGTGGGGCTCGCTGCTTGGGGGGTTTCAGCCTCTCTCCGGAAAGAGAAAGAAGGTGCTAGTGGGCTTTTTCCAGTGTTGCGTTCAGATCCCTGAGAACTTCGGAGCCGTCCCGGCCACACCGCTGCCTGGACGGCGGAAAGAAGTTGCCGGCTCGGGCCAGTGTCTGGTGCGCTTCCTCTGCACTGTGAAGATGTCGGAAACGCTCTTATCGCCCGACGGGCTTCCTTCAGATCAGACCCCAGCTTCTCCCAGTCTCTCTCCCCAGGACTCCCTGATGGATGAAAATACAGAACCTGGACTGATCCCACCGTCACCCGAGGGGGATAATCCGCCCCCAACGTCGCCAGATCGCGTCGTTGGCCCAAGTGTGTCTCAGGGGCTGGGGGAGAGGGGTCCAATTTCTCCCTCCGTTCCCATAGAAGCAGAATCTGATACTGCTAGGGAGTCGAGTCCTCGAGTCGAGGAGCAAGAACTTTCTGAAATTGCAAGCCAACCTGCAGAAGAAACGAACGGGCCAGAGTTGGGGGTTGGGGAGGCTGTGGAAAATATGTCTGAGGAGCCTGCCCCAGAGAGTGAGGGAGACAAGTAAGTTGCATTTGATCTAGAATCAGAGGAGAGTGGAAACGTGAGAGACCTTATGCACCAGTCCTCAGCCCCACTACTCCTGACCCAGTTTCCTTTTCCTCTGGCGACCCAGATTTTTTGTTCCTCATCTTCCCTCTAGCCTTTGGAGCTACAGCTTCTCCCAGCTACCTCGATTTCTTAGTGGTTCCTGGTCCGAATTTAGTGCTCAACCTGAGAACTTCTTGAAAGGCTGTAAGTGGTAAGTAAGGACAGTGGAGCCGGGAGTTGATCATCCTGAGTATTTTCACTGTAAAACATTACACTTACTTGGGAGAAGGATCCATGAGAAGTGAGGGAAAGAGCAGAAAGTCCCTCTGATGACAGCTTAAGTTTCATCTAGGACAGCGGTGGTGCACCTATGGTAGGCCTGCTGCAGTGGGCTGTTGGTGTCGTTGAAAGCTTTAAAAGGTTCACTATCGCTTATTTAGGACTTTGTGTTTCATATCAAGGACTCCAGCTCACCGTGTAGGTGGGCTCAGATCCCACCTCTAAACTTGGAAAAAGTCTCCAGTTTCCTAATTTTTTGCTATATTTCTAGGGCTCCTGATGGTTCCTGCATCTTGACAAATAGTGCTGATAACACCCTGCGGATTTATAACCTGCCCCCAGAGCTGTACAGTGACGGGGAGCAAGTGGAATGCACAGAAATGGTGAGGGTAGGGGTGAACTTTGCCTGTTTATCAGACACTAAACTTAATTCCTTCATGTTGATGGAGAAATACAGTTCACAGGTTTCCTGTTAACCAAGGGAAATTTACACATATAGCTGGTGTTTTGTTTTGTTTTGTTTTGTTTTGTTTTTGTTTTTTGAGACAGGGTATCCCTATGTAGTCCAGGCTGGGCTGGAACTATGTAGCCAAGGCTGACCTCAAGTTTGTGGGAGAAAAAATTGTGGCAATCCTGCCTCAGCCTTAATTGCTGGGATTATGGGCAAGTGGTCCCACACCATGCTCCACATGTCACATTTCTGCTTTGAACTCTGAAGTCATTTAGAGATATTAATTCCCTCTTTAGTCAGGAGTATATGTTTTCTGTAGGAAAAAAGCAGCTTCAGGTGGCACATGCCTGTAATCTTCCCAGCACTTGGGAAGCAGAGGAGGAAAGATCACTGGGAGTTTGAGGCCAGGAAAAAGAAAAAGTAGTGGCTTTCTTGTGACAGCATTTAACGTACATATACTGAGTAACTAGCGACGTCAGTCACTGTGGTTAGTGCTAGTATATTAAAGAGGTAGCAATAGTAAAAAGCTGATTTTTGTGTGTGTGTCATTTGCAAACAAACTATTAAATAATCATCATTACAGTCACATGTGCATGCTTGGGGAGGCTGAGGCAGAAAGATTGCAAATTTAAGGTCAGCTTGTACAATATAATGAGATTAAAATTTTAGAAAAGACTGGGGATGTAGCTTACCACAGGCTGCATAGTGATACCACATCACTAGAAAAGCAGTAAAATACATGTTGTGAAGGAAATAAACAGAAATGACCTTTTTAGGAGGTAGTACTTTAGACGTAGTAGTAAGGGTAGAGACTAGGGATATAGTTCAGTGGCAGAAGTCCCTGAAGGTCCTGAGTTCGATTCCTGGTACCAAAAAAACTAATGAACAGGAGACCTGGGGCCTGGGGATTTAGCAGCAGCACAGTGCCTGCCTGACAGTATGAGGTTGTGAGTTTAATTCCCAGTACCAAAGAAAGAAAAAAGGAGACCTGTGAACTGAGGCCCAGAGGAAGGTACTGGCTTTTTTTTTTGGCGGAACTGGGGATTGAACTCAGGCCCTTGTGTTTTCCAGGGAAGCGCTTATCCACTGAGCCTCTTCCTGGCCGTAAGTTTTGCCTTTTTTTTTTAAGAAATTGCTGGGGCCGGGGAGATGGTTCAATGGAATAAGTGCTTCCTTGGCAAGCTCAAGGGCCTGAGTTCAATCCCCAGTTCCGCAAAAACAAAAACAAAAAAACCCCCTAAACTTTATGGGCTGGCAAGATGGCTCAGTGGTCTAAAGCACCTACTTGGAACAAGCTTGGCAAAGCACAGGGACCGTGGTTCAATCCCCCAGCACCACATGCCAGCCAGCCCCGCCCCCTGGTGGGCTGAGCTGGCCAAACACACACACACACACACACACACACACACACACACACTCTAAATAAATAAATAAATGTTTAAAAAAGAAGAAAAGAAAGAAATTACTGCTTCCTCCCACCCTGTGGTAGGTATTTTTTTTTTGGTGGTACCAGGGATTGAACTCCACCTTGCACTTGCCAGGGAAGCACTTATTCCACTGAGCCATCTCCCCAGCCCCCTAGGGGATGCTGTTGGATCAGTCCTGTGAGGAATGAGGAAAGGGCCATCTGGGAAGAGACAATGATAGTATAAAGACTGAGTTAGAGGGGCTGGAGAGATGGCTCAGTGGTCTAAAGCACCTACTTGGAACAAGCTTGGCAAAGCACAGGGACTGCGGTTCAATCCCCCAGCACCACATGC